CTCGCCAGCTACTCTGGTTGCTGCTGCCGCGTTCCGCCTGTCTGCCGCCTTCTCTGGGCTGTGTCTGTGCTCCGCGAGGGTTCCCTCCGCCGCGGTGGGCTCACCCGCCCCCGCTGAGCAGAGGCTGCGGAGCTCTGCCGGCCGTGGAGATGAGCTCGAGTTCGGTAAAACAACCGAAGAACCCCTGCGTGTCGGGAATGTGGGGGCAGAGCACTCGGCAGCGGCCAGTGACAGGACAAAGGGTCAGAAACTGGGAAGCAGAACGTTCAGCCTAAACAGAAGAAAATATGTTTTTACTGTGAGGGTAACGGAACATGGGCACAGGCTGCCCAGAGAGCAAAGGGTATGGAGTCTCTGTCTCTGGAGACTTTCAAACCCCACTGGACACGTTCCTGGGTGACCCTGCTCTGGCAGGGGTCGAACTGGATGATCTCTAGAGGTCCCTTCCAACCCCCAACACTCTGTGATTCTGTGAAGGAATATCTCTGTATGACATAATATTTAACGGAGAAAAGTTGTGCAATTTTTTTTTTATTATTGTAGCCTAAATTAACTGATGTTGTTTATTTACTTCAAGACATCCCTTTTTGATGGTTTGAGAAAAATGAAACTCTCTTCTTTTTTTTTTTTAATTGAACAGGAAATTTTACAAAATTTATGGCAGTGGTCCAAGACCTTTTGACCTGTCGCGGCTGAACTACAAATCTACTTGCCAGAGGTAAGATTTATTTATGACTAAACTAGATATATTTCTGAAGCTTGTCATTTTCTCCTCTTAAAGCTAGTGAACCAAAATGTTACTTGTGAGAGTAAAAGTACAATCTTGAAACCTAGGTTTGTTGAGAAATACAATGAACTGAAGGCAGAAGGAAAAATTGAAGAGGAAAAATTGTTTGAAGAAACAGGAAAAGCCCTTTTAGCCAGTGGGATAATTTTACAGAGAAGAGGAACAGATAAAGTAAGTATTAAATATTCACCGCTTTCTGTTTTCTCTAACGTGCAGGAGAGGGAGTGCTTCCTGGGCACGTGGAGTCAAGGCAATTTTTATATAACTCTTAACATGAAATGGGGTAAGAAAACAAACTGAAGATGCTTCTAAGACAGCATGTTGGCTAGAGTAGGATGTGATGGGTAGAAATCTTTCACCTTGTTTGTGACTAACTCTTTACTGTTCCTTCTGAGAGTGCTGTCCTTGTAGTTGAACACCCTTAAAAAAGAAAGGAAGAAGAGCTGTTTTTAAAAGCTGAGGTTTTAAGCTCTGTTAGCTAAATTAAATTATTATTCACCTCTGGAATTTGCTCTCTGTTCTCCTCATTGTCCGCTTACCTCCGGGCTGAGTGCCCAGACTGGTTTCCCTGATAAAAGTGGCTGAAGAGGAGCAGAAACTGGTTCCACTTCAGGTGCCCTGTGTGATGAGTGTGTGTGGAAAGGTAAAATCACTGCCTTTCTGTCATGTTTTAGCTTGAGGTCAGCAGTCTCATTTTAAATTTCTGACCCTGGTGATACCTTGACACTGTATTATACCTTAGAAGTTGTTTAAGTATGAGTTACAACTGTTCTGTCGTCTTTCCTTGGACATAGAAACTGGAGCTGTTGCTTTCTGTTGCTCTCTTCAGTCACACTTCAACAGAAAATTTTTATGACCCTGTTTTTTTGCTTTTTGGTGATCACCTGTCCTTAGGTAGCACAGCAGGATCGTCAGGGGGTGGAAACCAGGGATTCTGCATTGCACTTGCAGCTTCAGACTGTCCTGGAAGAGATGCAGGAGAGGAAGAAAGATCAGGAAGAGCAGACATCAGAGTTGGCAGAAGCGCAGAAGGAAAAGCCCTTGCCCTCCTGACAGCCACGTGCTGTCCCACAAGGCGTGGCAGCAGCGTGTCGCCCGCTCGGGAGCGGCGTTTCTGCCGCAGCAGCTGGGGGGGTTACGAGGTGTTTCCTCAGGGGGAAGGTTCCTCGGCTGTCCAGCTCTCAGGTTGGCGACATCGCATCTGTGGCACGCCTTCTCCTTCCATCTCCCCGCTTGTGAATTTGGAGACAATAATAATTATTATTTTCTTGAAGGAAAACAGGAGTATGAAAGTGGAAAAATAAAATTAAATTTCTTTAAGAAACATCTTTACTTCTTCCAGTTTTTAACGTCTTGTGCTTGGTGCCACGGGCCTTGTGACAGTCCTGCTGCTGAAATGGCAGAGGCCGCCTGCCTGCTGTGTGCCAACAGCTGCCTGGGGCACCGTCCCTCCATAGCTAATTGAGAAGAGTTGCTATTTGTAGAAATGTGATAATGCTCTCTTCCTTCTCTGACATTTGCTTAAATTCAGGCCAGGATCGAGTTGTAACAATGCCAGGTCATTGGGTTCTTTGCAGTTTTCTAGAGACTCTTAATGGAACTGGTCGCCCCAGGAGTGTGAAAGGTGCGATGTTGCAGCCTTTTGTGGAGGAGGCAGTGGAGCGCTGCTGCAGAAAAAAGTCACAGGCACTTCAGCCTGGAACAACGAAAGAAAATAACAATTGATCTTACTGAGATTGTGAGCTGGTGAGTTTTTCCTCTGCCCGCAAACTCCAGTGCCTGGATTATTTTTTTATATAGCTTTGAGCTACATGCAAAACAATTACTGTGTCTTTTTTTCCTTTTTTGTTTGTGTCTTTTTTTCCCTTTTCGTTTGTGTTCTTTTCTTTTAAAAAGAAACAAATGGCCACCGCCACAAACAACAGGTGTGAATCATGCCAGGCAAATCTCTCCTTGTCCGACTTTCCCCTCTGGTGAAGTGGGATGAGATTTCCTTTTGGTGTCGTACCTTCATTTGCACCTCTGCTCTCCTGTTTGTTGTCACTTCCCTGAAAAATTGCCAACATTATTTTATAAAGCTTTTTCCTTCATCGTCTGCTATAACTGGCTTCATCCTTGCATCTGCACTGGGCTTGGCTGTGTCTTCCTTTTGTCATCGGAAACGTATTGAGCAATAACCCACGAAGTTTAGAACCCAGGCTATAGCAGCAGCCTCGTGGTGTGCCCTGAGCGTGTTCCTGTGCAGAGCAGGCAGGAAGAAAGTTGGAATTTATTTTCTCTTTTATTTTGTGTTGGAAAAAGTCACGGGCGGCTTCCCTGGGGCAGAGCTCTCCCAGCTGGACCAGCACTGGGCTTGACTGGGAAGGTGCTGGGATTTACTGGGGTTCATCCTCTCAACACAGCTGTGATCTGAGGGCTGGGGCTAAGAGACCCGTCAGTTTTATCTTCCACTTCTACATCTCAAATGATGATAATTGTGTAGCTTGTTTAACTGTCATTTTTCGTGACCACACGTGAGGGTTTTATTGCAGCTTGGCTTTCTACTTGTAGCCTGAACCTGGTGTGCCCAGCTTGGGCTTGGAAAGTGCGAAGAAACCTGGTTTCGTGCAGCTCATAGCGAGGCAGGAGGATGCTCTGTGCTTTTCCGGACACCCCTGGAAAGTGGTTGTGTGCTTTGTGCCCTTACTCTGAAGGAGTTAGGTGGCCAAATTAGCAGGAGAACCTGGAAATACGTGAGGGAAAACCTGGAGATACATAAGCTAACATGCCCTTGCAGTGGGAGAAGGCAGGAGCCCTCGCATGGTGTAAATCAGGAGGTAATTCCCGGGAGGCTGGCAGGGCAGAGCCCGCCTTGGGGGCTCCTGGCCGGCTCTGGTGGTGGATGGAGAAGTCCCCCGAGATGCTATTGTGCACTGTGGGTTTGTCACAGCGGGTGGGTAACGGGGAACTCTCAGGTAAAGGAGATGGGAGACAAGGTGTTTGGTGCAATTCGGAGAAGACACAATCAAGAGCGTTGTTCTGTGTTGGTTTGACAGATGTGTTTGGCAGGCTGGGGGGGCTCCTGGCCGGCTCTGGTGGTGGATGGAGAAGTCCCCCGAGATGCTATTGTGCACTGTGGGTTTGTCACAGCGGGTGGGTAACGGGGAACTCTCAGGTAAAGGAGATGGGAGACAAGGTGTTTGGTGCAATTCGGAGAAGACACAATCAAGAGCGTTGTTCTGTGTTGGTTTGACAGATGTGTTTGGCAGGCTGGGGTCAAGTTGCTGATCGCTGCGACCTTCCGGTAACTCCACTGCTTTAATTAAAAGGTTCTGAGCAAGAGCCTGTGGTGAGAGATTTATTGCTTATCAAGCATTTGCCCACCCCTGTCGCCGGCAAAATGCCAGCGGCTGGGATAAGGAGATCCGGGACCCCCTGGCCCTGCCGCCGCACCGGGGATCCCCGCT